AATATATATATATATATATATATATATATATATGATCAATTCTGAATTTATTATTTTCTAATATCATAATTTCATTCTAATATCTTTCAATAAATCATAAAAAATTATTCTGTGTAGTTTCATTATGTTAAATTTTATTTTATAAGTGACTTTTATAATTATATTAACTATATTATAATATAGTTAATATAATTAGAAACAAATTCCTCTAAATGAATGCATTATTATATATTATTTTAATTTATTGCAATCTAATTGTTAGTAAATATTTTTAATTATTTGTATACAATATTAATGTTAATCTTCATTTAAAAAATGAATTTTTGATATTCCATATATTCATTTTGTATTATATTATCATTTGAAATGAATAAATTTCAATTTTTATTTATAATACATCTCTTTTTTAAATTATTTTTTCATTATGTTTTTTCATTTTGTTATTCTTCAAATATCTTCTTATTTATAGAATAATGTTTAATTAAATAAAAACTAATATTTAATTAAAAAGATTTAAGAAAAAACATCAAATTTTAGTAACTTAGAATATAGAATCTACTTAATAGATTCTTTTTATATTATATTTTTTATATATTATAAATTGTTCCTTTTATGATAGAAAAATATATATATATATATATAATAAAATATAAAATCATTCATAAAATATACATAATAACATTCAACTTGTATATAAATGCACATAAATTCTATTCCTTTAATAATACTACAAGCAATTACAAATAATTAAGACTTAAAATGGATCAATAGTGAATTGCATAATAATTTTTGTGCATAGTTAAAAAATTGTTCAATTATATTATTATCCAACTACAATAAATTTATGAAATGTTTTTAAAAAAACAAAATTTATGAGTGAAAACTTTTTGCTCAATTTTCATTGTTCTGGATTATTATACAAGAATTAATAGAATAAAATATTTTTTGTAGAATATTTTTAGAGGACCTATTCAGATCAAAATAAATAGAAAAATTGGCATTTAAAAATATCAATTGAAACTTTTTTTATAAAATAGAATTTGCATTAGATAAAATAAGATGATAAAGATGAAAGAAAATGATAAAGTAATATGACAAAGATAAAACGGCCATATTTTATTTTCGTTTCGTTTTATTTAATACGAATTTTATTAATTTACTTAATAACTTAATAAATAACTTAATAAATAAATCTCAACTGACAATTTTGTATATCAACTTTTGTATTTATTTATCCTCTCGAAGAGAAATTGAATCAAAAATGTCTTATAAATATTTTAATATCCATCTTTTATTCATAGTACTTGTTAATAAAAGTACTTGTTAAACTCAAATGACCATCATTAAAACTAAAAACAGAAGATGGTAAAGATGATTTTTTTATTTTTAAAATTATTAACTTCATCAAATCTATTTTAATAACTCTTTCTCTGTTAAACACATTAAGAATAATTATTTGTTTTTTATATTTCTTGCTTTCCTTTTTCGCCATAAAAATTTTTCGATTATTTAATATTTAATTATTTTATAATAATTATAAAAATTTAATGTGAAGTACAGAATTGAAACTATTATATATATATTGAACTGAAATTATTTTTAACAAAGTAAAGAACTATAATTATTTTTAACATTATACAATATAATTTATTATATAATTTATTATATAAAATAATAGAATTTATAATACAATATAACAGAATTTATCAACAAATATCTTATTTCTATTGTTTTCTACTATATACAATGTATAATGAAAATTTAAGATACAAACTATAAAAGATGTATATAAAAATACGTCTTTGTATATAAAAGTAAGTCGAAAATATAGAATAACAATTATTATTAAAGATTTGTTTTTAAAAAAATCGATTATGAAAATTCATCAAATATGCACTTGTAAAATAATTAAATTTAATCAGTTAAATTTTTTTGTACTTATTTTTTATAGTTATTTCTGTGTTTATATATGCAAAGAATTTTTATAACTTTATTATCATCATATTATTCATGATATTTTTTTCATTTTTCTTTCTTTTTACATTTATTATTTAATTATATAATATCCATGTTCTTATTATGTAAAAATAGATAAGAAAATATAATTTATATTTTATCTCTTTTGCTTATTTGATAATTTTAATTGTTTTATATATTATAAATCATATTATAAATTTAAAATATTAAGAAAATATATAGTATTGAACAATATGACAGAAAATGGATGTAATAAAAATCATTCATGAAAAATCTATTACAATTCTATCAACGGTTAGAACTAGTAATTAGAAACGAGATATGAATATAATAAATAATGAATATAATAAAAAAAAAAAAAAGAAATTATGACATTACATCACGAATTTGTATATTGATTTGAGAAATTTGAACTAGTTCATTTGTTTTAATTTTAAAACTGTTACATTTCCATATATATGTATGTAAGTATGTGTATCTTTTTTTTGGACACTCCCTGCCTTTCACATTTTACTGTGTATTAGTCATGGAAGATTGGTAAGGTTACAATAAAATCCGCCTTTACCGCATTGATAGTGTATATTATAGTGTTCTCTTACTAGATCGTTTTCCAAGAATATTATAAATTGACTTTCAATATCGAAAATTTTATAAATATTTTTATTAACAAATATTCCATAATTAAAATATTAAAATAATATATATACTTAAATATTTCGATTATAAAATTAAAATAATATTTGTTGAAATAAAATATTGTTATATCATTATATTAAATATAATGAAATAGAGATAATTGAAACCAGATTTTTAAATTCATAAAATTTAAATTTGAAATTTTGTTGGATTTCGAAACGAAACTCTTTAAAATACTTATTTTTTTTCTTTTTTTCAAAGACTTGTCAAGAAATAAAAATTTTAATAAATCTCGATAGAATTCTTTAAATTCAAATATAATATTTGAGAAATTTCTTGAAATTTCAATATTTGAGACTAGATCCATCTCTGAATAAAATACATCAATTATATCGAAACAAAATTTTTAATTCAAGAATATGTTTATAGAGGAAAAAAAGAGAACTGATTTTTCGGAGAATTGATTTAAGAAACACAAATGCATTAATCATGATTTTTTACGAAATTCAGAATTGATATGGATCATTCATGACGTACATTCTAGTTTTCCGCTTGCAACTCTGTTGCAATTCATTGCGGTTCAAAATCAAATGTCCAGTTTCGTTGCGCTCTAAAAAGCAATGCATACACATATAATCGTATAATTAAATCAATGGATAGACAATTTTTATTTGTATGTAATCTTAAGCATGTATATAATCATACATATGCATTAATTCCAAAAAAAAGAAAAATATATAAATGAAATAAATAAAATATAT